CTGGCCTGTCGGGAAGGGACTGGGAGAGGGCGATGCAGTACATGGCCAGTGGAGGGAGCCGGATTCGGACATTTCCTGCACATCTGGAAGTGCACAGAGCTGCTGGTGCCCTCTGCAGCTGGAGAGGTAATACAGTCACAGTGAAAAGTGTTAAAAGGCACTAATTTTGTAAACGTTATTGCTTCTCATCGTAATTTTGGCACTTAAGGTTTAAGCCAGTGGGTATCGGGCAGGCAGGTGGACATGTTAACATCCAGCTTGAACTACCGGGGACAAGGTGGGGGGAGTTCAGCTTAACATCGTAATAGAGGTGGGGAGGGGCAAGAGTAAACCCCAGATTAGTCGTCGGAGATGGAGAGTCTGCTGAAGATGGGAAGACGTCTTGAGGTGTCCAGGATTGGGGAATCTGAGCCGCTGTGGCTGCTGCTGGAGCTGCTCAGATAGCCCTCCTGGTCAGAGAGGGAGTCCTGAGGACTGGGTGGCGAGTCAAACATGTTGGGGGACTCGGACATGGGCCTGAACAAGAAGGTGGTGGGGGAGCTCCCGCTGGGCACCTGCACCCCCATGCTGGGGGCAAAGAGACTGACCAGCTCCTGGCTGGAGAAGGTGAAAGGGTTGCTGGCGCAGTCAGGCAAGGTGGGGGAGCCCAGCAGGTCGTCGGCGCTCAGCATGGGCGGCGGTGTGATGGAAGTGGGGCTGTCCAGCAGCCCGCTGGCAGCAGTGCTGGGGAAGCCGGCGAAGCTGAAGCTGTGCTGCAGGCGGGGTCTGTCGGTGACGGCGGGCTCCCGGCTCCCCGCCACGGCGCGGCGCTCCTCCGCGTTGTGGATGAAGTGGCAGCGCGGCCCATAGGGACAGAAGCCGATGGTGTGGAAAGTGCGGCACAGCTCGGTCTTGTACTTGGGGTGACGGGTGAGGCTCCGCAGCTCGTGGATGCCGTGGGCGAACTGGCACTTGTCACCGTACTTGCAGGCGCCGTTCTCCTCGAAGGGGCGGCACAGCTCCGTCTTGTAGCGGCTGGAGTTGACCTGTCCCCCGGGCTGCTTTTGCTGCAGTAGGCGCTCGCCACCCTCGGAGAAGGAGCGGTCCCGGAAGCGGCTTTCGCGGGGGCCCAGCATGGGAGCCGGCTCCCCTTTCAGGCTGCTGAGGAGCTGGTTCTGGTGAAACTTGGAGTTGGGCAGGGTGACAGAGTGCCTCCTAGGGAAACCCCCGCCCGCCGGGGTGCCCACCGCCTTCCTGTCCAGCAGGCACCCGCTGACACCCGAGGGGCTGTAATTCAACATCTTGTTGCTCTGCGGGGACAAAGCAAGAGCCGGTCAACGTCACTGCTACTGCCGCCACCTCCTCCGACATCCCCACGGAGCCCCCCACGGAGCCCGGCGAGCGCGGCGCGGCACCCCACCGCCCGCCCCTGCCGCGGCCCGGGGAGCGGCGGCGGCCGCCCTCCCGGGCGTGTTGTAGCGCGGCGGCCCCGGGGGCACGGGAAGGATCCGGCCCCCCCGCTCGGCGCCGCGGCTGAGCCCGCCGGGAGCGCGGGCGGCTCCCCCACCCTTCCTCCTCCGGAGCGACCGAGGCGGGAAACGCGGGCGGGAGAGACCCCGGCGTCCCGAAACGGGGTGGCCGCGCTCGGTTCCCGCCCTGCGCCCTCCGGTCCCGGCGCCGAACTCGCCCACGACCAGAAAACGAAGTGGGGGGAGGGGAAGGGGGAAGCCCGAACACGAACCCTAAAGAAGCTGAAAAGCCCCGAAGTTGGCGGCGCCCGCCCTTACCTTGCATAAAACTTCGCTCAAGTCGAAGATGGTGGGCGACACCAGGGCTGTGGACATCTTCGGCGAGCGAGGGGGGAAGCGAGTGGGGCAGCGGCACTCGGACACGAGGAGTCACGGCGTGGGTAAGGCACAGCCTCCAGCGCCCCTGCTCGCAGCCTCCCCCCGCCGCCGACGCCGCCACCAGCCCGCCCGGCCGCCGCGCCCGCTCGCCGCTTCCAGGGGGCTCGGGGAAAGCTCAACTTATAAAGTTTGCGACTTACCCCCGGGAGGCGGAGCCCGGCGGCGGGAAAGGGGAGGAGGAGGAGGGCAGGGTGATTGACACCGCGACTGAATCACCCGGGCGGCCAGGCCCAAAAAAACTTTCGGGAGGAAGGAGAGGGGGAGGGACAAGGGGAAGGGGGGAGGGGGGAAGAGAACGCGGAGCGGCCGGCGGGCGGGTGGGTAGGCGGCTGTGCCGGGCCGGGCCCGCCCTGCCCTGCCCCGCGCTGCGCTGCGCCGGAGGGGGCGGTTGTGCGGCCGCTCCGAGCGGCTCCGCGCGCCTCTGCGCGCGTGTCCGTTCCTGCTCGCGTCTCCGCGCGCGCGCCCCCGTGCGCGTGTGCCCGCGCGCTCCTCCGCGTGCGTCCACGTTGTGCGCGTGTGTCCGCGTGCGTGCGCGCGCGCGCTGAACTCGGCGCGCGGCCGTCCCGTTCCGCTGCGCGCGGGGGGAGCGGCGGCCGCGCGCCCAACGGCCGA